ATATATATTTCTTAAAATTAAAACTAGTGAAAGTTAATTTTTATAAACGACTTCAAAGAGCTGGAGCTAATTATTATGTTTTTCAGCTTATTCACTTATTTATTTGACGAAGAAGTTGACTAATTTCAAGAAGCCATGCTAGAGGCTCATATGCATAAGCAGCATTTTGTGACTCACGACACGGCGAGTGTCGCGCATAGCTTTACTGGCATGGCTTAAAACTAATCGGGTCGAAAAATAATAACAATAATTTAGTAGGTATGCCTCACGAAACTTATGATATGAATATAACAGGAGTATAGTTTTATCCTTCTTTATAATTTTTTACATATTTCACAAATCTAGGAAAGTTAATAATTGCTATTACCAGTAAGCTGAATTCAACGATTAATATTAATGATTATGTTTACTGTCACATGAATTCGTATTTTCTAAGTTACTTAGTTACTTAAGATGCAATTATTTTTAACGTTACTATTTGTTTTATGTGAAGTGATTACCTTTTCAATCACAAATAACTGAAATAACGTTTTATGAATGACATTAACGAATAACGTATGTCGTATACTCTTTTATCATCACTACTCGGCAGTGTACACAGAACTTTATGTCAACTGACATTTCAAATTATAAAAAAGTTACCGGATTTCAAACGGTCTCGGAGCGGGCGGTGTATTTGTGTTTAGGTTCAACAGCTCTGCATCGCATTTTGGCAAGATTCCCTCGGGTGCGCGCGTTACATAAAATGAACGTCGCGTTTCGTGCCACACAAAAAGGATAAAAATAGAATTTGAGAGTGAGTTGCGTGCTCACATCACCGACATTTTTGTTTTTAAATGACATACATACGCGCGTCGCCACTTGTACTACGCCGTATTAGAAATCTTAGTGAAATTATCTGAAATCGGTTAACTGTAAACATTGGACTAATTTTTTCTTTGTGTCTCTCTCCAGATTGACGCTTGGAGGACAGAAATTACAAGTGCGGGCGCCGTCTATAGTGACTGAAACTCAGTGTGTGTGAGTGTTGATCAAGTGTTTAGTGGACTTGCGAAGATGGCCCACCAAGTGGAGCCGATGGACATAGACAGTGACTTTGATAACAAAGAGAACAGTTTACATCACAACAATGTGCTGCCGTTCACGGAGAAGGGCTACGAAGAGCTGGACGTGTCGGAGCTAAACATGAAACTCAGGTACTCTGTCACTCCAGCTTCCTCGCCTATGTCTAAGAGCTACACCGCCAACTGCCTTGACAATAGAAGCATAGAATCAGGGGATGACACTTTAAATGTAACAATCAATGAGAATAGTAATTTAACAAGATCACTTAATTCTAATTTGACTAAGAATGACAGTGTTGTAAAATGTAGTAAAACTTTACCACTTCAAACTATATCTACAGAGCAATTTGTAGACAGTAATAGGAACACATCAGTGCTCCGGCCTCTAGACTCAACTGTTACTCAAGATAATGCTAATGTGACTGTCACAGTAAGCGGTCCCAGTGACATTGATGATCACCTGTTGAGTTCATCATCCTCTGCAGTACAAACTCCTGAAGCAACAACACCAACAAAGGAAATTCCTAAGAATGATGGTGGATCTCCTATAATGCGTGGCCTCAAAAGTGTTCTCAATATGTTTAGATCGTCACAAAGTCCTATACCACCTGCAGATAGTGATGATGTTGTGAAACCGGACATACTGAGCCCGGTAGAGGCTTCAGTGACATCTGAAGAAGCAAAAGCAAACGCTATGTTAGTATCCACACCAATTTCAGCACATCGGAAGAAAGAAGCGAGTCCTACAAAAAGGAGTAGTCCCACTAAAGAACCAATTGTGTTTAATGAGGACCTCGAGAAAGAGCTGCAGTGGAAAGATGAGACAACCATAATATTCAGCCAGGAGCGTATCCCTATACACAAGTTATTCTTTCCGCTTGGTCAACCTGAGACGCAGAAGCCTACTTCTAGCCAAGAGGTGCCAACACCTCAGAAGACACAGGATTTGGATTCTACAGTTGAATATATGGATATATCATACAATGATTCAATTAGAGATAGAACTATGACAGACATACAAGAATTGGCTAATAAGACTGATGGAACTATAGGTGTTGAGTCTGACGGAGAGTTTGTGGACTGTGAAACAACATTTACAAAGAGTGACTCAATACTAGAAGATAATGATAAGACTCCTGTAAATAAAACACAAGATTTAGCTGAAGATATTGAGAATATAAGTGAAAATACAAGTTCAAGGCTCAAACAAGTAGTTTTGAATACTACCCAAGATATTTTAGATGCCACCCTGTCAATAACCCCAGAAGACTTACTACCAGAATGTTTAGTTAAAAGTCAACAATTACCAGAACGAGTATCACAGTCTACAAATGCTACATCCAATTTTCCAAATGAACCGAAGCTTGAAGAATCCATTGAAATGAATGACACGAAAATATTAGAAGACACCTTGCATAATATATCAACATTTGAAGAAGAAAATCCTAATATAAATGATACTATGGCATTATTGAACCAAACAGTAGATGTTCAAGATCCTAATTTAACTAAAACATTTGATATTAAGCCAAATCTAGATCAAACAGTAGACATAATAAAACCTGCAGAATGTACTGAAGATCCTAATTTGACTAAAGTATTAGAAAATGTTACAGTCGAAACATTAAGTATAGTAAAACAAGAACATCCATTAAATGAAACTTTGAAAGATAAGAAAATGATTGCTGAAGAAGCTGAAGAATTTGAAAGGCCACCAGTAGATGTAGAAAACAATTCGAGCCATGTTACTGATCTCAACACTACAGATACAATGAGCCCACAAGATACTGAGATCCATACTTCAAATATTACTATCATAACAGATTCTAGTCCTGAAATATTTAATGAAGTTGATAAACTATCACAAACTTTTGAAGTTGAAGAAAAATCTGTACCTGTTAAAGAGGCATCAATGACTGAGTTTGCTGCAGAAGTACCATTACCTGATGAAGATGATCTTGAGAAGGAACCTATCCCAGATATTGCTAATGAAGCACCTAATAGTTTGCCTTTAGACCTTGTTGATGATATCAAAGTGCAAATGGAAAAACTTGAGGCAACAGAAAATGTAATTGAAGATGTAGCAACACAAGTAGAAGAGAATGAAAACATAGACGATAAAATATCAGACGCAACTTTGACTTCTTGTGATGTTGATAATTTAAAAGAAGATGCAGCTCTATTTGAATCTTTAGTACATGAAGCAGTTCCAGAAGTTGTCGAAGCAATTAATGTTGAAAGTAAGCAAGTCAACAAAGTCGATCCTGTTGATTTATTACCAGAACCAGTAACTGATAATACAATTAGTACAGAAGCTGAGAAAATAGTTGATCAAGTACACAATGATGTAGAAATGAATACAGATACAGTTACAGAGCCTCTTAATACGACAGTAGAATTTGCCACTGAAGAAAAGCAAGGGAACACCTCCATGAATATTAATCAAAGTGTGATTGAATTAAAACCACTTCCTGATATCATCAATCAAATGCCTAATGTTGAAAATCTTGTAATGGAAACTATACCTGAACCAGTGATACTAGAACAACCTACTGTTTTGCCAGAAAATAATGTCAATGTATTTAAGGAAGAGGTTGTCTCGAACGATGGACCAGAACTCTTAACAAAAACTGACGTTTCTGACGTAGAAGAACCTGATAATGTCTTAGAACCTGAGATGGTGGTCGTTGTTGATGAAGTTAATAAAGTCTCTGTTACTGACTCCATTGAAACAACTATTATTGAAGATACACATACAGCTTCAAATATTGATTCAAGTGCAGACCATAACAATCTTGATGTAATAACTGCTGAGCCCCTTAAGCTTGGCGATCAAGTTCAACCAGTTGAAAAAGTTGATGCACCTATCAGTGAAAATACTGAAACCAAAACTGAAGATGACGAAATTATACTCTCTGAAAATAATAGTCCATTTGTATCAGTCATCGCTGAAAATATTCCTGAAGAAATTAAAGCAGAAGAAACTGTTGATGTGTCTAATATTAATGAGCAGTTAGCGACCACCACCAGAGTCGTATTCACTCCACCAGCTTCTCCACCAATAGCATCTAAGGGCTATAACTTCAATTTTGATGAAATCGATGATCCCTTTGCTACTAAAACCAAAATAAGAATGTCACCATCATTTGAGACTCCAGTCAAAACTGTTGAACCTGCAAGTACTAAAAGCGCAGATAAAATTATACCGAAAAAAGAAATCAATAACAGTAGAAAATCACAACCAGAAAGAAAAAGACCTGCTACTCCTAAGAAAAAGTTTAATTCTACTTTCAGTGGTGATGTTAATGATAAAACAGCGGAGAAAATTGAAATTTCAGGTGATGGTGATTTTAAACTGGATTCACCACCTGATGTAGCTTTGGAACCGAACAATGTCATGATTGAAGAAGACAAAATAACTGAAGAAATTAGAACAGTTCATGAAAACCCATTGAATGTTACAGAAGAAGTTAACGTTGTCGCTGAAACATCATCCTCTGTGCAGACTGATGACTTAAAAATTACTTCGTCATCAGAACTGTCTACATATTTCTCTGCGGACACATCGTCAAGTGAAAGCTTCCCTTCAAGAAATGTCTTCAACATACCAGAGATTGATGATATGAACTTTAATCCGTTTGCAACTAAATCTAAAATGCGACAATCCCCACCTCTGAGTTTTGATGGAAATGTAGAAAATCCTTTTGCTACTAAAAGCAAAATTAAGAATACTCCTGAGTCTTCCATGATATTACTGGATAATGAAATAGTAAAAGAAGAAAACAATGTAATTACCGAATTCCCTACCGAAAAAATAGATATTGAGTTAATGGAAAAAGATGCTTCAGGAAACTTGAGTAATGTAACTGCTTCTTCTAAAGCTACTGACGATAAAAATGGTACAGTCAGGGAAGTAAATACTGATGATGATGACACTGTCGAGGGACCGTTCCTAGAGGCTGAAGCTGATGATAAAATGTCTGACTTTGATGGTGAAAATATTGACATGATGCATTTCAATGAATTACCAACTCAAGGAAATGAAGAGAATGTTGATAATGGTGAATTGTTTATAGATGCAGAGGCTTTTGAGTTTCTTTTGAATCAGAATAAAAGTAATACAGTTGTTGACAGTGGTAAAGAGAGTTTGTTCCTTAAATTTGATCCACTTTTCGCAAAGAGAATGTCATCTATCACATCAGATGGTTTGGTAGCTTCTTTGAATAAGATTCAGAAAAGACAAAGTACTCCTACAAAGGCAGCAATGCCAGTGAAAGAAGAGAGGTCACCTATCGCTGGACCTTCCAACTTAAATATTACTCAAGACATGGATGTGAGCGAGGAATTCAATGATGATCTGAACGTCACTGTGTCTAAGCCGATGATGGTTGTTCCCCCTGCTGTGAACCCAGTTACACCTAGAAACAAGTCACTGACTCCCAATAGATCGAATAGGCGTTCTATTACATTCACGTCTCCTGCCATGGCTGTTATTGACAGACTACTGTCCTTGAGTGGCAATACTTCCCTTATGCACGATACCAGTGTTACACAACACACTAGGGAACAAAATGAAGCCGATTTAGCTCTCACACAGTTACGAGAGCTTCTTGCCGAGAAAGAAATACACGTTTACAGTCTAAGGTCTGAAAGTAAAGAACTCAAAGATAGATTATCTTCATTGGAATCTCATTTGAAGAGCTTAGAAGAAGAAAGTCAGGATAGATTGAAGAAGATCAACGACTTGAATGCTCGGCTTGCTGAGAAGACGAAGATCAATAAAGGCATGGCGGCTGTAGTCGAGGAATATGAGAGGACGATAGCTAGTCTGATCTCAGAAACAGCACAAGACAAGAAGAGGCATGCGGAAGAGAGAATAAAGCTGATAAATGAGAGAGATGAACAGACGGCCCACTTAGCCAGTATGGAGGTTTCATTTAGCGACCTTCACAGTAAATACGAAAAGAGTAAACAAGTAATTCTTAACTGTAAGGCAAACGAGGATACGTATAAAAAATCCATAAAAGCATTTGAAGAAAACCTAACAAAAATGCAAAACAATTATGAGCTTTTGAAACAACACGCGACATCAAAGCTCAACCACGCGAATCAGGAGTTAGAGAAGATGAACAAGGCACACGAGGCGGAGGTATTGAAGCTTAATGCCATGATTAAGAGGAAAGAACTCCACATCACGTCACTTGAAGAGTCCCTTGCGCAAAAGACGAAGGCGAACGAGGAGCTGACAGCCATATGCGATGAACTCATCAATAAGGTTGGCTGAATTTATTTTAGGCTTTTCTATATTTGTTGTGTCTGTGATCTAGGCGGATACTCCGAGACTTGCTTTTGTGCTTATCTTGAGATAAGTAGCATTAAGTTTTAACTAGTCTCTACGTTATTGTGCCAAATCATTTTAGTGTAACGACATTTTATTCCTGTTGTTTAATATGTACTCAAAGACTGCAAAATGTGATAAAATTCGATTTCTATAATCATGTTACAGTGTATACTTATATGTAATGTTAACGAGACCATGTTTTCAACAAGTACATCAGACCACAGCACTATTACATTATGCTGGCCATAATTAAAGTGTGCGCTGCGGATTATAAGTCAGACACAGATCTTGATATAATAAAAATGTATATTTTTTGCATGTATAACTGTTGTATTTAAATTCCCAGATATTTATTTTGTATGTAAACATTTTCTACAATATTTTTGGGAAAATATAAATTACGCGAAATGATATTTTTGTAGATACGTATTCATGAAGAACTATGATATATTTGGTATTTAGATAATTATAATGATGTGTATCCTGTTTGTAATACCTGACTGTTTTAGACCAACTCATGCAAAATGTGTTTAATGGTAATGTTACTCCTCATTAGCCTCGCGTTGTAACATCGTGCAGATTTCGCATTAATTTAATATAAGCAGTCTTTATCTGACCAACCTAGATTCCTCAATTAATAATTTTGACATTGCATCTCATTTTGTTCCACAATTACCGATCTCTAATAATAATAATCACATATGCAATTAGATAATATTTTTGGACATGACAATAAATTATTGAATGTGAAATTATAATAGCTCGACTTTCCATATAACGGGTTGTTTGTCAGTTATTTTTGTATAATATAGAATTTAGTTATTATTTTAGCAAATAAAGTTGTCATTTTTCATATCTTTTGTTTTATTTATCCTTCAGACTAGAGAAAATAGTATTTCAAGCGTTATGGAGTGCCATAACGCGACCAACATAACATAAAATAACATCACGCCTTTAATCTCCGAAGGGGTAGGCGGAGGAGAACATTATGCCATTGTACAATGTAATACCCACTTTTCACTATTTATGTTATGAGTCCCATGTAATAGAGGGTGAGCCTATTGCCATATACCGGACACAATTCCAGACTCTGTGCTACTACTGAGATTTTTTTAAAACCCTTTGCCCGACCTGGGAATCGAACCCGAGACCCCTTGCTCGGCAGTCGCACTGGCGACCACTCGGCCAACGAGGTAGCCATAACGCGACCAGTGGGTCGAAATAGGACAAGGACAACTATTCTCAATTTGTTCGTTTCTGAGTATAATCGGGAACTTTCAAAGTCACAGTTGCATGCTCTTGGGATTGTTTCAGTACGAAATCACGGAAGTTTTATATCCGTTTCGATTCTCCTGTCGGTCAATTTGTTAGTTTTGATTAACATGTCAAATTGTCAAGCCATTTGAATGGCGTAGGAGTGATTCACGTCGCTGGTAAATGGAGGAAAGGTTTCATATAAACGCGATGCAATTAGCTGATATTTTTAATGTTATTTCAGTATTTTTCCTTAAAATGAGAGCATGCATAATAATATCAACTGGTAATACGTATCTACTTTCGCAATTAGTTATGTTAATGGAAAAGTAACTCGATTTATTGGTAAGCATTTCTCCCGGGACATGTCGATACAATTCTTGAACATAAACTTTCTATAAAATACTGCACTATTATAATTTGTCTACGGCATGCTCCGAGCACATCTATTTCGAACCAACTTTACGAGACTTTTTTTGTAGACAACGCATTTTATTATTCCAATAGTTTATTTTATGAATAGCCGTATTGGAATCTGAGTTCTAATAACATTGCACTTGTTGCTATTTTCGTTTGCATCAAAATTCAATGATTGATTCCGTTTCACATTGATATTCTTTTATTATCTGCAATGAAAGATTCAGCAGCAGTAATAAATAAAGTTTACTGGGGTTATCATTCTAGGTCTGCCTAATAATTGCAAACAAGTCAAATGATTAGGGTTCGATTCTCAGCTGGCGAAAGTAACCACTTATAAATGTTTCTATATCCTGATCATGACATTGGTTGTTTATCTAGTGTTCTTAATTATTTTCATAAAATTCATTGTTTTATTTTGGGGCAAACAATATTACTAACAGACTACATTTCTGCTTATCCATTTAGTATCAGACAACAACCCATGTTATGTTATTACACTAGAAATGTGCTGGGTGACAGACATGTGCTGCTAACGGCGAAGTGCACATTCACAGATCCGGTTTGAAATGGTCGTTTTTTGTTGCGCTGTGGATTGCGGAAATGGTGTGAAGTTACACTACACGGGACACTTTCTTAACGCCCTTGAAATCAGAGACCAAACAAAGGTATTTGTGAAGGGAATTAGTTTAAATTAAACCTAATCCGTATATCCCTTCGTGTCGCTTAAGCGCTAATGATTTCTCGAAACCGTCGTTCTAAATTGAAAGTTTTCTTAACGATTGGCTAAGTTAATTTACGCGTCCACGACTAAATAGATTTCCAATACATATATCCATAGGCAAGTAAGCTATACATTATGCTTCGGTATGTATCATTACACCATGTCAGCTCGGGACTACAGGAGAATAAAATTACCATTACATTGCACGCGAGCGCAGCAGCGGGCAAAACATCGCGGAATTATTCAACTGACGGCTCCGTGCATACGTTTGATAAATGTGTGAAATATGTACTTTATGTCGTCCTAATCAGTGCCAGGCCGTGCCACCGACTATTTGGACAAAAAATTGCCATCTATGAGACTCCCGCCTTTCCTCGTTGGGATTCCGAACGAGGAGGTTCTTTATCGTTGCCATGGCAACGTGCGACAAACACTGCCAAACATTCTCATTGAGTAGCGATCAAAACGGGTCGGCTAACGATTATGCACGAGTGATGTATGACGAGACGGTTAACGTGGTTAACGCTAGAGAGATCGACAGCCCGTCGAGTGACGAGGAAGTGGTAAAAGCAACGATGTCCAAATTTAATCCGCCAGTAAGGCACACCGCCAGGCATGACTTCGATTCCGACAGTGAAACCGAGTCCGAGGGCGACAAGTTTCTGGAAAATATGTCCGGCGAAGATCAGGTTAGTACATTTTTGTCTTATGTAACTACGTAATTGAATAAATAGCCCCCTTCTAAAAGTAATTGCTGCATAATAGACGTTAAACCCAATTTTCATCATAATTACAATTGTAAAACGTTTTCGCCCTTTCTAATCAATAAAGAAAACAAGAAACGGACAGTATGTAACAAATACCTCAATACGCTTGCCAACAATTATAATTAACGCTCGTCAAGTTAAAGATTCGTGATAATCCAACAATATATACTAAAGCGAAAGATATAAGACATTACACGCTCCAATTACTGTCCATGTAGTTTAATTTCACCGCTAGGGAGTTATTTTAGCGGTAGACAGCAGTAGACAAACATTAAATGCATTTATTTGCGCTACGGCATCCAAGGAATTTAGATAGGCAACTTCTATTGTAGCGGCCATATTGCATAGATTTAATTTCCCTCCCGCCATAGTTCGCATGGCGCCACCTGTTGGCTTTCCCGTTGTTTATTCCCGTGGTAAACATAGACAATTTTGGACCGGGTTCAATGATCAAACGTTATTTATTCCGGGTATGGTTAAAAATGGTTTATAACTGTCGTAAAGCGACGAAGATTTCATTAGCTAGGGGAAGCTCTTCCTACATGCATATTTTAGGATACAATAGCGGAGCATGATCGTTTTAGACTGTTGAGACACGCGTAGAATCTATTGCTGCTGTTTGTATTATCCAGCGATAGTTGTGGTCGTGCGAGCAAATGCACGATCATGATCATTATGCATGGGATAAACAGTGTTGATTTTACGCTCAATAACTTCGTAATTATTAGTTTGCAGATGAAACTAAAACTAGGTTTCAAGGGATGTTTATTATACTCGGAATTACGTGTTATATTTTGCAATTGTTTGCTTTAGAAATCGATAAAGAACTAAAAGTAAAAGAACATCACAATATCTGACATTGTAATTATTTAATGCATGTCTCAGTCACCGGATAGAAAGTCGCAGCCTTCAGAAAAATCAATGGAAGCCCCCAAAGTGAGCAGGGCTGACCTTATGAAGGAGACTAGCGGCAGATCCAGGCCTGTCGCGAAACGTGAAGATTCGTCTAATTCAGGTTAGTTAGATAATGCTAATTCGTACATTGACCGTATAATCCTAATGCCATTAACCAATAATGTGAATTATTGTGCCAAAACTGTGTAACCGATTTAAGGTTTCTGATTTGAAATGTATGTTTTCTAACCATAATTATCATTATGTCAATCACTATCCAGACTGCCACTGCTGCGCATTGAACTGCCCCAATAACTTCCTTATTTGCCTAGGTTCTAATAGTTTCCGAACGCAATTAGATTTCTATTGACACTATTTTTCTTCTAAAAAAAGTCGTTGAATGTTTCAAAATTAAGGATGTCCCATACCGCAACTAATTTTGGTTCCCTCTGCCGCTGTCGTTCAACCGTATCGTGGTGACAAAAATAGTTTTAATAACATTGTCGTCGTTTGAAAATTTGGACATAATTCTTTTATCTTTTACGAGCGTAGGTACGGGTTCAGTTCCTCCATTTCACATAAAACTTTCATCATGATTCATTCTGGCCATTAGTGGAAGTTGTATGAAAATTACCTCAGTAGTTCGCAGTTTATCGCATTCAAACACAGGCTGACACGACGGAATTTCATTTTATATTAGGCAGTGATTAGAACCAAAATGGGTTTTAAACTAATGACCATGTAGATAGATTGATGTAAAAGTAAAAATGTAACTGCTAATTGGATCTTGTACAATGTCGAAGATATAACAAAAAATATCATAGCATAGTTTTCCATCTGGAAACATCACTGAAGCATACCGTATACATAGTCCTCGTTTTTTTCCTTGCTTTCTATCAACATGTTCGTTTTGTAAAATTGTAATAAACATTATAATTTCAGAAATTGTCCGACAATATTTTCTGTATTCCTCACGGAACAGATTTTCTGTTCCGTGGTATTCCTGACCAGAGTACTGAATTTTATTAATGTTTTCCAAACTTTCTTTTATTGCATTAACAGATTATTTTTCCGCAAAGTACTGAAAGCCAAAATCATTACTTCCTACTTTCGGCCAGTGCTTAATAGTTAATAGTATCGTTCATCGAAGCTGTAATGCCTATAATTCTCCATTTTCTATAACAAACAATATGCGTTATTGCGTTCAAGATATTTTTAACCGGCGGGCTTTGTTTACAGCAGCATTAGATATCATGCGATACGCTGCGTTTGTTCATGATAATGTCCTAGAATCTGTGTAAAGAAGGCGGCCATATTAACCTACTTGGTTGCAATTTAGGTATTTTCTTTGACAGGACTGAGGTCGTTGACCGTAAGCGCGGGTTAATGCGGGTTTTGATGTCTTTCGATATTTTTATAATGTTATCGTTAAATGCTACATTAATTTTTTTTTAGTCTGAACCGACTATTTGGAAAAGTATTTATGTCTGCGTGTAGATAAATATTTTGTTCGAAGGAAATTAGTGAGAGTTAGTTAAAAAGTGATTTCGCTTTTTTGCAGACAAATTCAGTAGAATAATAACGTGTAATATAACCGGGTAAAGTACAATACCCTTGTTTACATTTCATTCCTGGAAAGATTTTACGATTTAAAATGAATATTCGTAGCATGCGCCATACGGATGGAATGTATAGGTACTTAACAAGGCTGTATGACATTTATTGTGGTTTGGTTTGTTGGTACTACCACTAACAGAAATATAGTAACTGAGACGAATCTAACAATACAAGTCTCGCTCTACTTAGCTAATTCTGTAAAGCCCTTTACTATTTACATAACACGTGGAACGAGAACTAAAGGGAGGCAATCTTTGTAGGTTATGTTTATTATTCCCGCGTTTTTTGCAGTACCAACTAAATATATTGACTGTACGGTTGGTGCGGTGGCTGGGCAACCGGCTGCCGTGCAACGTGTCGCAGGTTCGATTCCCGCACGGAATAACACTTTGTGTGATCCACAAATTGTTGTTTCGGGTCTGGGTGTGATGTGTATGTGAAATTGTATGTTTGTAAACGCACCCACGGCACAGGAGAAAATTCTAGTGTGGGGCAACGTTTTCTTTTAAATCATTACCTAGTAACCTAGACCCTAACGGTCCTTAATTCCAGACACAGACACAGGGGACTTAGAACCTGAGCGAGTGGATCCGATGTTGGGCAGTGGCCGTAAAAGAGGTGGTGTGGTCATACCTGCTGAAGGGGCCTACGATCCCAAGAATTTCTTGGACTTGAAGGTGCCTCCGGAAATGGAGAACATCTTCCAATATATTATGAAGTAAGTGTGTTTAGTGGTGTAATGTAAATTATTGGACTAAATTGTAGATTTTGGTGAACTGATATTGCCATGGTTGGGGAAGTGTGGTAGACTGGTTCTGGTAAATAAGTGTTGGAAAATAAGTTCACAACATCATTTCTAATTAGGATAAGCAGAAAGTTATTTTCTACTAACTTAATTTTCCATTTGGCTAAGGGAATCTCCTAACCTCTTTCTCCATTCATATCCTATTACTTACGATCTCTGGCCACCGTAAGCACAGGCCTGCGGACGGCGAGCATGGGTGGCTCGCCGTCCGACCAGAACCAGACCCGAGCGTACGGCGCGTCGCGTTTTGCGCGCGCCTCAAAGAGCCACCAGACCACCACGGAGATGGAGCCCAATAGGGGCGATGCAGTCGCGGAGAACCTAATGGGTTACCGGGGCTCCGGCTCGAAGTGTAGGAGAAGAAACGGGGTGGTTTTTAGTCAGTAAGAGACTGACATTGAGTCACTGAGTCATTCGATGATTTTACCCCCTTAAAAAAATCCTATTACTCACAATTTCGCATAGTTTTTGCCTTATACCGAATGTCGCGGAGAACCTAACGGGTAACCGGGGCTCCGGCTCGACGTGCAGGAGAAGGAACGGGGTGGTTTTTAGTCAGTAAGAGTCTGACACTCCCTCCCGCCTCACCCAGGCGGGGGCAGTCATTCGATGATTTTCCCCCCTTAAAAAAAAAAAAAAAAAATACCGAATATGGGCCCAAACAATAAATGGGGGCACCCATTTATTGTTTGGGCCCATATTCGGTACTCCCACCCGCTACATGAGTGCAATCACTACTCGACCAACGATGCAGTCGAAGTCAGGGCCAATATAATAATAATTACTCTATTAATTCATTACGTTTCATTGAAATCAATTTTAATTTACTATAATGCTTTTTAAATGCGTCAATAAAACATGGCGTCACGCTATTATTTAATCAAAACGACAACGAAGTTATATTTACTGAACACCATGACACTCCCAAATTGTATGTATCCTGCTTATTAAAACTCGTATCTAATACTGTAATGATAAGGCCTTGAATCCCGTGCACAAATCAGGTCATAGTGATTCTGTTTCATAGATTCAGTGGGCAGGCTACCCACAGCCTAACCTTGCACGTAGTTTGAACCTAGATATTTGCTAAAGAGTAATTTGTGCTCTAATTTCTATGTAGTACAGTTTATTATTGGTTGTTACGATAAGTGGCGAAGATCTCGTGGTATCAATGAGGCCGTTGAGTCTAATTTTGTTCGCGTAATACAGCGTGTTATGAAATGATGAAGCCCAGTTTGATATGAAAGTACGTAACATTAATGATAACGGCAAAATACGATACCTACTTACTACTGGGAATAATGAAACATGTTGTAACAATATTCATAAGTAGCTACACGCAACTACGTCTGTATTTTTCTGAAATAAAAGTAAATTTTGTTTTTTTTTTTTGAGGGGGGAAACTCATCTAGTGTCTTCTCACGCCCGGATGAGGCGAGAGGGAGCCTATGTTATCTACTTCTTAGTACATATCAGCTACCTGCCAATAAAAGTCCCGTCAGAATCGGTCCAGCCATTTCAGAGATTAGCCAGTATAAACAGACAGACAGACATACAAAAAATTAAAAAGAGTGTTACTTAGGTATATGTACCTATCGTATGTATATTCATATGCATGTAGTAAAAAGCGGTTAATTCAATATTACAAACAGACACTTCAATTTTATTTATCTGTATAGATATAGATTGAGTAGCATGGAATAGGTGCATACAGAAGATAGAGTCATTATGCGAACCAAAGAAAAGATTACTATAGACAACGTATCAAGGAATATCTATATAATAGTAGGGGAGCCCACGATGCTAAATTGGGATTTACTTGAGCGTCCTTGGGACCTACTGGATTTTGAAGATATGCTGATAGAAAGAAGAAATGGTTTAGAAGGTCAGGGACTTGGGTGTACGCTTTACTACTGATTTGAATTTTAGGACTCATATTGTGAATATATGCAAAAAAGCTTACCGAAATTTAGGAATGGTATTACGTTTAGGTAACCAATTTACTAACTTTAATGCATTGAAAGCACTGTATGAAGCCCTTGTAAAAAGTCGTTTGGAGTGTAATGCCGTTGTCTGGTCACCGCATGAAGTCAAGTACAAACTGATGATAGAGCGTATACAAAACAAATTTGTTAGATTTTTGTACTTAAAAATGTATGGTGTTTATCCGGGTTACCCGCTTTTGTATCCGACTCTTTTTGTATTGGGCATGGTGGGATATTTTAAAATTGAGGTGAGGAGGGAAGTAGCTGTCGCTACTTACTTATTTAAAGTACTTCGCGGCAAAATATATAACCCGAGGGTTTTGGAGCTGATACAGTTATGTGTACCGGATGCATACGCGGCGCGCCGGCGCAAGCCAGCGCTGCTGGCGATACCACGCGCACGCACCAACCTCCTACAGCGCGCGCCCCTGACGCGGGCGCTGCGGACGCTCAATGTGATGTCGGAATACATTGACTTATTTTATTGTACACTGAACGAATTCAGAAGAGCCTGTTACTGTACCTGTACCCATCTGTGACTTAGCTTAAGGAATATGTTTGTTACCATAGTTATAAATGTTGTAGTACCAAATTGTAAAATTAGACTTTGTAATTTAATTCTATTAATATTGGCATACACTATTGCATTAGGTATTAGTTCCTGTTATAATAGTAGTATGTACTTAGTTTATAAATAAATAAATAATAAATCTATATATAAGAATAAGTTCCTATCCCATACCCTATTGTAGTCGCGGAGAACCTAACGGGTAACCGGGGCTCCGGCTCGACGTGCAGGAGAAGGAACGGGGTGGTTTTTAGTCAGTAAGAGTCTGACACTCCCTCCCGCCTCACCCAGGCGGGAGCAGTCATTCGATGATTTTCCCCCCTTTAAAAAAAAATACCCTATTGTAACTGAGAATTTCGGGACTGAAACGTTCAAATTCAATTATCCTTAGCGTAAACAGGTGATAATAATGTCTCGGAGGTCTAATGTCCGAATACTAAAACGTTACTCAATCTTAAGCCGCGCTTAAGTATAGTTTCAAGCCACAGAGGAGCTCTTCCTCATGAGCAGCGTGTGCGGTCACGACGATGTCGCGCAGCCTATATATCGAATCGACTACTACATATAAAGTTGTAGAGGTTTTCTCAGTATTTTCACGTGAGTTACCCGCGATTTTTATTTACTGTTGAAAATGTTTTGGATTCAACATAAGGTCTTACAATACGCCTTGTATTTCATTAATGGACTACTTTCGAACACACATATTGAATATCATACAAAATTAACTATTACAACTAAGTATCGAGTTACTCGGAAGTTGAACTCGAGACGTTACAACATATCGATTACAATTAAACTAATTAGGTGATCTCGTTTGTAATTTTTGATATCAATGTCGTTTCAAAGGTTTTTTGTTGCTTTTGTCAAAGGCTCTAGTCGATCTAATAACTGTTTAGAAATTACATAATACCTCTAGAATCAAACTAATCAGTCACGTACCTACTAAACGACTGATGGATAAACTTCATAAGATGCTCAACAGCACAGCGCTGGCAAGGCTCTCGCACGCCGTTTTTTGCTTTAGGAACAATACAAAAAGGTTAGCGGTTAAAAGGTTTAAAAGGCAAGCGCGCGGGTGACCCGTTTACAGGTTTTTTATATTGACGTTATAAAATATGCACTATTACATAAGATGTTATGTTCAAAAAATGACATAAGTTAATGGGTGTCTCTTAAAAACGAAAAGATGACTAAACACTTTGGCAATGCGTAGAGATGTAGCCTCGTTGTGCATTTTCTACCGCTTATACCACGGGGAGTGCTCTGAGGAATTGTTTGACCTGATACCTGCCGCATCTTTTCGCCATCGACCCTCCCGACAGCATATGCATCCCCACAATATAGATGGTTGGCAGGCCACAACTGTGTGCTTCTCACGATGCTTTCTACCTCGCACAGCAAAACTGGAATGATCTATCGTCGCCGGTATTTTCGAACTGATACAACCTTCAAACCTTCAAAAAAAGAGCGTATTCCTTTTTAAGAGGCCGGCAACGAACCTGTGGCTCCTCTGGTGTTGCGGGTGTCCATGGGCGGCGCTGATCGCTTACTATCAGGTGATCCGTCTGCTCGTTAGCCTCCTATTCCATAAAAAAAATGTCTAACTTGTATTGCGAATGTCCGTCGGCGGAGCTGATTGCTCACCATCAGCTGATCCGTCTGCTCTTAACAATAATATCGCATAATTTTAAAAGTAATTACACACGTTACTTCACTATTAATCAGGTAATAAAGATATAAAGAAGTACTTATTTAGATCAGCTTGCGAATATCTATCTATGTTCGAGAAATTATAGCACAGCTCTTTGAGAAAACCACATATCTCCGTATGTATCTACATGTACCTGATCTATGTACAATAATATGATGTTCACAAGCCGAACTGAATGATTAATTCTTAATGATAACATCTAGCCATTGTGCAGCTGTACCGCTCATCGTTGGTTGAGAGGCGAGCTTTCAGATTGCAGCCAATTATTTTCCGTCGCCGTTCATGTCGTGTGTAGCCCGAAGGTTAAGACACCCGCTTCTCATGTATGTAAGTGCGAAAACGGTGAAGGAAAACATCGTGAGGAATCCTGGACTTATAATTTCTAATTATAAGTTTGAAATCGCCAACCCGCAATGAGCAAGCGTGGTGATTAATACTCATACCTTCTCCGTGTGAGAAGAGGCTTTGTTCAGCAGTGAGCACTTATAGGCTGTCGATGATGATTTTTCACCGGCTTCTGAAAGTAGTTCGCTCACGTTTCTGTGGGATTAAAATTAGCCTATTCGGACCATTCCCAATTCCAAACACCTGTTCCAAACATGTCGATCCCTTCAGCTGTTTTGACGTGAAGGAGTACCAAAGAAACATATAAACTTTTTGCATTTATCATATTAAGTAGTAGAATTTCTTCAGTATAATTGTGCATTTCTGAGATTTTTATTTTGCATTGTGTTCACACGAATAAATCTCTGATTTCTTATTAATTCCTGTATGAATTTGAAGAAATTCTAAGCATTAAATATGTTAAACATTTTCTGTAAATAGTACCTACATGGTTTTAATATACTTTGTCTGTCTGTCAATCACTTAATCGTTCAATCCCAGCTAATTCGCTATAGTCCGCCTACATGGGGTTCATGAACTCTGAAAAGTGGGTTCAGACGGCTCAAATGAAGCTACATATAGTCAGCCTTATTATTTTGCAATAAAGTTGATGTTTAACTGTTTGGAGTGGCTTGATGTACGGTAGCTAGTGTATCTATAACGCGACTACATTTCTGCTTACTATATAATACTATATTAACATTTTAGTTTAAATTATCATTAAAATAAAACGCATAGTTATTTTACCTTTCTCTATCTATGGATAGCTACATGTTGAAATTGAAACATTAGAAAAGCTATTTCGAATATTTAATAGCGAAAATAATATTTTGTACTGCCCAGCCACTGCGGTTTGTTGTTCCGGGTCTGGGTGTCATGTGTATGTGAACTTGTATGTTTGTAAACGCACTCACGACACAGGAAAAAATCCTAGAGTTTAGAGCAAAGATTTTTATAAAAAAAAACTACAAACAAACAAAACGAGTTTTATTGAACAAATTTTAATAATACATTTATTTTCCTTCAGATACACACCTCAGAAGATAGACATAGACCTGAAACTGCAGCCGTTTGTACCGGAGTATGTGCCTGCTGTAGGCGACATAGACGCGTTCATCAAAGTCACCACCCCTGCCTGCAACGTGCGCGCGGCAGCCCTCGCCGACCACGTGTTGGAACATATTGATAACTTAGGTCAGTATACAAAGCAAAACATCTCTTTATTCACAAGCTTTGCAATAACAGTCTAAAGCCCTGTTATTGCAAAGCTTAAAGAAAGTGTTGGGTGAGCCATATTTCATGTTGGGTGACTCTTATTTAATGGTCCTATCAAGTCGTATGGATGTCCGCACGTTAAAGATAGCAAAAGGGCCTTCTCTATACATATAAAAAGAAGGGAGCAGGGGGGGGGTTATTTTTTATTTATACATTTAGAAAACCAACAGCTATACAATTTGATTAAGTAGAATGTAACAAGAAGCCAATTACTGGTTTCCACGATGGCGAACATAATCCTCATGCTTAGCAGGCAGGTTGAAAATGGCAGTTTAAAAGGGTCAGGTTTGTCAGAAGAGAGCGTTGCTACCAGACCTGGCAAATGTGTAGTTCACTAGTTAACTCTTGCGACGCTCGTGGGAGGAGTGAAGGTGATGACAAATAAATGTACTATTCTGTTTAAATGTAAATGCTATGTTCATATTCCAGGGCTGACGGTGCTGGACGAGCCGGCCGCTGAGCAAAGTGATGCAGCGTTACTACACCTCCAGCTCAGAGCCATCTCAAAGACCAGCAGTGCGAAGTCTACTGTGGTGAGTGGAACCTATCTATAAATGAATCCCTTTTCCCCTTGGTCACGACATCATGCGTGAATGGCTGGACCGATTTCACTAATTCTTTTTTTGTTGTATTTGTTATTATTAGGAGAAGGATCTTATGATAGAAAAAATCTGAAAGTCCTACGGGAATGGGAGAAAATGGGATTGCGCGTACGAAGTTGCGGGCAGATGCTAGTTTAATATACCTAAACACCAATAAAGCGATACAAAATGTAAAGAAAGCATATATTGGTCGACCTACCGGACGATGATCGGTGGAAAGGTGTTTTGGAGGCGGGCTTGAGAGAGCTTCGAGCGAATCGAGCGAGAAAATCCCAAGAGCACTTTAATACAAAGTAATAAAGGCTATTTTCAATTACTTCCAGGTAACAAAGAAGATAGAAAACGCAGAGAAGAATTCCAAAGCTATTGAGCGTTGGATCAAGGATGTGAGTGAGCTACATTTGTCTAAGCCTGCACCTACTGTCGCTTATACAAGGTAAATACAACCTTATAAAAATAATATTAAGACAGAGAGTTAAAAATTCCGTTTTATTAAATCGAGATTTAGACACAGAACAGTTTTAATTGCTTCTAGGAAATCTACGTACTAGAAAATGGAACAATTTTCTTTAAATGTAAACGGATCTGTAAGATCCAGTTAGATCCTTACACTGTAGTTTGTGGTTATAGAAGGTGTAGTAGCTCACAGAAAAGATCACAAGTTCTAGTTGCTAGTTGTGTATATTAAGTTTGGTAATAGTTACAAATAACTGTTTTTAGTTGGTTGGTAGATAAAGTACTACTACTACGATTAATGTAATACGCTAAATTATATATGCTATGCATTGGGTGACGCGCATTCAATATTACTGCGTCGACTATACGTGCTATGTACGGTTATGAAACCGTACAGGATCTTACCCAAATTCTTCTATAGAACAAGATTTTATGAGTGAAAAGTAGGGACTCATTATCTGTATAATTTTGGTTCTAAGTTTTAACCGTTTTATCTCGTTTCCGTTTCAGCAAAATGCCCGACATAGACACATTAATGGAAGAATGGCCGGAATCTATGGAGGAGACGCTCAATGAGGTGGGTTTCCCGCCAGGCAACTTGGACTGCAGTCTATCCCAATACGTGGACCTTGTATGCGGACTGTTTGACGTGCCCATAGCCGGGGACACATTGAACGATAGGATCCAAGCCCTACACCTACTGTTTAGTTTATACTCTGCGGTTAAAACGTCGCAATTATATGCCGAAAGACAGAAGGAGAGAAGTGATAGTAACGCTTAAAGTGGTTAAGAATAAATGCGGTTTTGTTTTGTAGTTTGGTGTTTTATTTATCTTTTGTACCTATTAATTTATCGCCCGAGGCTTTGCCAGAGTGGACTTTAAAATTAATCTCGAATTTTGAGGTGTCCGTTACCCAGGCCAGATGTTGTCGAAAATGGTCATTTGAATCTTATAGATAACTAGCTACTTCCGCGCGGTTTCACCCGCTCTGCTCAGCTCCTATTAGTCGTAGAGTGATGTTTTATAGCCTATAGTCATCCACGATAAATGCGCTATCCAACACAAAAAGAATTATTCAAATCAGACTTGTATTTACGGAAATTAGTGTGTTCAAACAAACTCTTCCGCTTTATATAATAAGTATAAGATGAGTAGTGCGGCTTCTGTAATTGTTGCGCACATTTTTTAATTTCTTGCGCTTATAGTTTTTTAATTATTTCACAAAAAAGTCCTGCTGGGATAACGTTACCCCAGCCAGACCTTTTGACGTGACAACGTCTTAAATTAGGTTGCGGCTGGGAGTCACTTATGAAAAAGTGTAACGCTCGGTAACGTTACGATGAGTCACCGAACGAGAGAGAGGCCCGCCGAATGCCTTGCGTCTCTCTCCCACTAAACTATGATCGGTCTGCCGCGCGCGCAGCACTAGTTCATTCAATTCCTTGTTCCTATTGTGCAATTTAATTATATTCATATCAATAAATATTCTACCGAGAAAAAGACGTTGTCACGTAAAATCTTCGCCCGTAAAAACGACTTTACAGGCAACCATTTTTTTCTTTCTAATGGGCATATTTAATCATTTTCGACAACATCTGGCCTGGGTAACGAACACAATTTTGAGTCGGTCTTGTAGGAATATGTTCAATAGTGATATGACCAGTGACCACTCTACTAACCAGTGGAGAATAACATTACAAGAGCAACATGAAGAACAACAAATCGTGCAACATGAAGTTAGCACTTAACATAACCGTCTGCACTGAACAACAAAATTAAATACAAAAGGAACTAAATTGCACTAACGCACTTGCCAACATACATTGATATTTTTGTTGCAATATCCACTTTTGAATTTAATATTGTAGTAGGACTGCCTCGTTGTTCGAGTGGTCGCAAGTGCGGCTGCCGGGCAAGGGGTCTCGGGTTCGATTCTAGGGTCGGATAAAGTATTATTGCGTTTTTAAAAAAAAGGTTCAGAAGTACCACGGTATCTGGAATCGTGCCCGGTATCCTTAAACCGGGGTGAGCCTATTGCCATCAATAGGCTCACCCTCTATTACATGGGAATCATAACATAAATAGTGAAAAGTGGGTGTTACATTGTACAGTGGCATTCAGTGCCGTATTGTTCACCTCTGACTACCCCTTCGGGGATAAAAGGCGTGATGTCATGTTATGTTGACAGTAGGTTTAGACTTTTGTGAGCTGGTTGACTTTAGATACAGTCATTATATTTATTAACCTCTTGTCTGTCAATATATGAGACACAATACCGGCTTTAGCGTGGGATCTTTTTGATTTATTCCAATATCATTCAAGTGCATACACTGGAATCCAGATATAAACGTATGTGCAATTTATTCAATGGACAACGGTTTATACAAGCATTAAATAATGTCAATACAATCGTGTCTCGCGTAGGTCTACGTGCCGACAGACAAGCGGTTAAAATAAATACCAGATGCCATTTCACAAAAAATCGGAATCTCCAAATATTGCCAGAATAAAATTATAAAAATACACGAAAAGAAAAACAAAGCATTCCATGTAAATTATATTTATTGTAACTCAAGTGAGATCTACATTAGGGTATCTGGAAGACTACATAGGACTAAAACATAACATCTACACACGGTATCATAGAAAAATATTTTATTTCATTATTTCTATGAATACTCCCATCATTTACTTTATCCACATATTTATAATATCTGAACAAAACTTGAATTTCAACCAAAACAGAAAAAAACTATAAAATAAAAAAAAAAAAACTTGTTCCATATTTAAAAAAAATATTTCACAGACAATTTAAAATAAACCAAAACATTATCGACATAAGTACCAGTTTCGGTTAAAACTCAAGTTCCAGATACATAATTATAATTACAATGTTTCTAGTATATGACTATGTTTAGTTGACTGCATAAATAGTCCTTACTGAGGAAAACTAGCTAAGACTCGGAGACTGCTACTTTGAGGGTGTGAATATGGTACTTAACTGGTCAATCCAATCCCCAAGAGGTCACCGGTGGCCACTCTTCACTAACTCCACTATAGACCTTATTTCCAATGTTTAGAGACTACTTTTCTATGAATAAATGTGGATTTTACATAATCGGACATTTACGAGTTAATGTCAATTTATGGAGGCTCAGAATCGGTTTAATAAAAAAATTATTCTCCGTAGTAGCTTTCACGGCTATTTCCATTTCATGGTATAAATAAGATTGGTTATTCAAAATTGAACTTTAAATTCTATATCGTAAGGTGGTAACAAAACGGATAATTTGAAATGAGCAGCAGTCTCCACAAGTAATAACATCAATTTGTACCCTATGAACATCGACAATATAGTAATAATAATTGAAACATTCGTGTCTACTAATATTTAGTTACAATTTACCTAAAATCAATTTAAATACATAGTCAAGCTTCAAAAGCTGAATAATTCTATAATTTATATTATTAATGTGTTAATGTGCTTTTTATAATATAATTTTACTATTTTTTTCATTTATCGTACATTTTAGTCTAGGAGTCGACGTTCAGAGGGCGCATATCATCGACATCGAAAAGTTTACATTAATCACTATCATATTTTGATATTTACATATTAGAGCAAATTTACAAAGCTTATATTATCACAGTTTTCCAAAATTTCCACACACACATACATACAGACACATACATGCTTTATTTATTAGCCATGAGCGCAAAACTATAATAATTTTGACGATACGGCTGATATTTTAACTTTAATTAATTATATATGTCACACAGGTATTGCTGCTTAAAATTTTGACATCTTCCCAAAGCGGGGATCAAAGTTTGTTACTTGTGTTTAGTTGTATTTTCTTGTTCTGGGGGCTTACTCTTGAATCCAATTCCGATCGATCGACTTTGGTATTGTGAAATTTCGTACTCTTTGAGTTGCAACACTAGCGCCCATTGCATCCGTATTGCGTGGATATTGAAGGAACTAAATGGTATTGAGTTTGGTTTTATATTCCGTATTCTGAATGCTATTTCAACAGCTACGAAAGGGGTTGTATAGTTTTGACATTGAATAATTATTGAGATTTCATTGGATTGAAATTGCATTGACATTGAGATTGGTTTCAAGAGTAAGCACCCAGATGTGTTGCTTTGTAATTTATAGAAGTAGAAATATGTATTGAAATAATTCAGAAACTGTTCAATTTGTATAAATTAGGTAATCGTGTCTTGAATCACATCATGGCTGACAAACTACAACAGCTCTTACATGTTTATAGTCAAGGAGCCGGTTTATAAGGCATGTATTTATCTTATAAAACAAAAATATATTTTAATTTTCCTTTTTTATAATCACAGGTTTATTTAACACATTTATTAAATTGCTCGTAGATTTATAAATTATAATAAATGAAAGCAAAACCAAATATATTTTTAGGTGTGACATTAACATCGTTACTTGTATCAATGTTTATATGTTATATTAATATTGTATTTAAACTGTCAAACACCAAGCGGTCACCGGTGACTGCAACCTATTGTTCTATAATTGTGTCTACAAAACCGGTACTCGACGAGTTAAACAATGGCAGTTTAAAGTACGAAAAAAAGCCTCATGCCGGGTAAATTACATAATATATTGCACATAACAGAATACATAAATAATAATAAATATTAAAATAATGAATTAAACATTTAACTTTGAGTTATATTTAATTTAAATAATATTGTATAGATGAAGATCACATAAATGAATTTTTCAATTGACTTGCATAGAGAATTAATAAACAATATTATTTTGTGATTTTTGTCAACTAACTTAATGTCGTGTTTTAACAATCGCGAGACATAATAAATTAATTATTTTGTACGGCTTACTCACGTAACCGTTCAGCGTAGTGACTCGATTGGTTTCAAGACACACCGGGGGCCTATAATCGACGATCATAGAGTATACTGCTCAGTACACTAGTATGAGGTTTTTTTATAGCATAAGCCGGTAAGCAAGCAGACGGATCACCTGATAGTAAGCAATCGGCGCCGTCCATTGACACTCGAAACACTAAGGCGTTACAAGTGCGTTACCGGCCGTTTGGGAATTGGGAATTTGAGGATTGTGGAGGATTCGGGGATTCGGGAGACGGGGACTAGGGGGGGTAATTGGGCCTCCGGTAACCTCACTCACACGACTAAACACAACGCTTGATTCACGTCGGTTTGACAGCCAACGTTACGGTTATTCGAAGCGGTGATTATCATATCATTCACGCAGCTCCCTTAGCGAAAATGGAGACAAACTAAATTTAGTACATATGAGCAAGCCGTACAACCATACAAAATTATATGAAGTTATTATTGTTTCAATATTAATAAATTAACTTTCTAAACAGAATTTCAATAAAATCAATTCACAAATCAAATTCTTCTATTGTATGTCACGATATAATTTACAAACAATAAAGAAATTGACCAGTCAAACAGAATTGTAACAGATTATAGAGGCCAGAGTACTAACATCACCGAGAAATTTACACCGGAGTCTATAAAACGATGCAATACTTATCTCTGTTCACGAAGAGAGTAACAGCCAATGTTTACCATTCACGCACAGCACTCCATTAATTCACTTATCCACGTATTATAATCACATAAAATTTCACTTTTATTTCTAAAATTGTCTTTTAAGGTTCATTGTTAAAAATATTAGTTTTTATTTTTACGTAGTTTTAACTTATATTCCTGTTATCAGTCGAGGATTGTTTTTAATTTATATTTTATATTATCACACGGTTGGTACGCGTGGCAAGTCGTAATATGTCATTACGGGCCTTCCACGTCTAATCTTCAGTCACTGCTTTACGTCACCTGGAAATAGAAAAAGAAAATTAATAAAACTTCTTCAGCATCGTCTTTTATAGTATTGGATAGAATAGGTTTGAAAATGTGTCTTATGTCCCACGTAATAAGGACTAATCTGATTTTAAAAACATAACACAACATAACATCACGCCTTTTATCCCCGAAGGGGTAGGCAGAGGTGCACATTATACCGCTGTACAATATAACACCCACTCTTCACTATTTATGTTATGAGTCCCATGTAATAGGGAGGGGTGAGCCTATTGCCATATACCGGGCACAATTCCAGGCTCCGTGCTACTTATACTTTGCCCGACCGGGAACATAACTATTTCTACACCACAATAGTATGCAGGCGTATCCAATGTCCCAATATGGGCTCATAAAAATAAAGTTTTTTTTTTATATTATTTATCAAGAACAACAAACAGCAACTCAACTCAAAAGCATTTAATTCGATTAAACCATAGTTTGGTACTTTTGAAACGTCAACAAATATAAAATAAATAATACACACATTTGAAGGCAGTCACAAGCTTTTAAATAACGTTTAAAGTAAGTCTTTAGAGCTCTTATTGAGAGTGCTGGGACCAATTTAAGTGTTTTTCTATTTAATGAAATAACTTTTAAGCTATTTATTATTTTGGTTTTTTTATTGCACAACAAATTTGAACTAATTAATAAGAAGCAATGTACTAAATATGATAAGAATCCGCTTAACCATTTCAAAGATCTAGCAAAATCAAAAACGTTACCCCAGCAAAATCTCGAATAACTTCGCAACCGATGAAAGAACAAATACAAAACAAGGCGCAACATTTACTTCATCTAGACAACTAATTTTACAGCTAGTAATTATTTAAATATTCCCATTAGAAAGAAAAAGGTCTGGCTGGGGTAACGTTACCCCAGCAGGAAATGTTTTTGTGAAATAATAAGCTATATATATAATAAGCTGTAATAAAAAACTATAAGCGCAACAAATTTAAAAATGTGCGCAACAATTACAGAAGCCGCACAACTAATTATCTATAAGATTCAAATGTCCATTTTCGACAACATCTGGCCTGGGTAACGCACACTAGATCTTTAAAACTACACCACGGATTTTATGCGGTTTTCTTTAATAGATACAGTGATTCTTAAGGAAGGTTTATATGTATAACACATGCATATTGGGTCGCTAGTACTAAATATAAGTTACCTGGCTAATGATAGTGGAACAGGTTGAAGAGCCGTCGGTTGAAGAACCGTTGCTGTTTGAGCTCGGTGAGGTCGCGCTCGTCGTCGTTGCGGATGCAGAAGTAGCTGGTGATCACACTGCGGCATATCGGACACTTGTCCAGTTTCGCTGGAATTTAAAGGGGATGTTCTTAGATCATGGGTAGAAATGAAGATTTTATAGGACATTTAAGGAGTAGACAGACGTTATCTTAGTAGAGCATTTCTTATAATATTTGTAAAAATTGTTTTCATTTCTTAATAAACATTTTTTTTTAATCGGGGATAATCATCGAATGGCTTCTCTCGCCTGGGTGAGGCGGGAGGGAGTGTCAGTCTCTTACTGACTAATAACCACCCCGTTCCTACTTCTGCACTTCGAGCCGGAGCCCAGGAAACCCGTTAGTTTCTCCGCGGCTCCGTATCGGCATCAGCCCTTTTGGGCCCCATCTGTGGTGGTATGATGGCTCTTTGAGGCGGAACGCGACGCGACGCATTCTCGGGTCTGGTTCTGGCCGCCCGCAGGCACGCGGTTACGGTGGTCGGAGATCGTTTCGTGATCCCGACGCCCGGAGGCTTAGACATATTAGTTATGGCCCTCGTTGGCCGAGTGGTCGCAAGTGGGACTGCTGGGAATGAAGGGTCTCGGGTTCGATTTCCGGGTCGGGCAAAGTGGTACTGGGTTTTTTAAAAGAAATTCTCAGTAGTAGCACGGAATTTGGAATTGTGCCCCGTATATGGCAATAGGCTCATCTCGTAGTACTTGGGACTTATTAATAATGAAAAGTGGGTGTTACATTATACAGTGGCATTAAATGGCGTAATGTGCACCTCTGCCTACTCCTTCGGGGATAAAAGGCGTGATGTTATGTTAGTTACGATGTAAGAAACAACTCATTAGTCATTAGGGGGAGGGCTTATTCCGCAAAGGGCGTCTAATGGCTGAAAATAAGAGTATAAAGAAACAGAAGCAGTAAGAAGACAGGATGCATAAAGTACTGACGCAGGCAGTCGGCGCAGAGACAGGCGTGCCGGCAGGGCAGCAGCGCGCGCGACAGCGGGTGCGCGGCACACACGCAGCACAGCGCGTCGGCCGCGCCGTACCCCTCCGCCGGCCCGCACTCGCCGCACCCCTCCGCCGGCCCGCACTCGCCGCTCACGTATAGTTGCTGGGGAACACAGTACATACGAGCGATTGGGTATTTTAAGTAAAAACGCGGGTTACTCACGTGAATATACTGAGAAAAGCTCTCACTGTGAGCTGCGCGACGTCGCCGCGACCGCGCACGCTGCTCATGAGGAAGAACCCCTCTGTGGTTCGAAACTAGTAGAGCTTTTCTCAGTATATTCACGTGAGTAACCCGCGTTTTTACTTAATTTAGTATGTCTCACGATAGTTATTATAAAAACATTGGGTATTTTCCTTAATCAAAAATAAATTATTTCTACTGTTCAATACAAAGAAATAATCACACTTTCATTTATTGATTTTATGACAAACTTAAGTTTAGTATTAAATCAGCATTTTTTTTTAAGAAATGACTATGTTGTTTGACGTTAAATTTGACGTCACTGTACACAATCTCGTAAAAAATTTATAGAAAACTGTCGTTTTTGACAGTTCGAAAAAAATATATTTTACTAGTTGTACACAAGTACCCAATTAGTGCCGTCATGTACATCTCAGTAAATTTATTCTGATCGAATGTTTAAGTTCAAGTGCAAGTGCAATTTCATCAAATTCGAACTTTTATAACAGTAATTTAAACATAGATGTAATTTTCGGTCGTATATGAAAATGTAAAAAAATAAGAATATGTTTCATTACCTCATTTATTCTTTAATCTATCTTCCACCATAACCATTTGCTTCCGATCTACCAAAAATATCCTAGAAATGGTAAACGTCCGCTTGGGACCCCACGCCCTATATTGTACAGTCTGACCCCACATTATCTTGTTTCATCAACCGTCTCTTTTTTCAATCTTACCTTCAAACAGGACAGATGTCCGTTCGCCTGCTTCAAGTACTGCGCGATGACACCGCTCGGCAGCGGACACTGATCGTCTCTGATATGCACCACGCTAATTAACGCCACCTGTAACGCATACGACAATAATATTACACTTCGTTCCGCTTGGAAAGATCAAGAGGATACTTTGAAGAGTTGGCTGCGAGATGTCGCGTCGTTGACGCAATTATGTGTTATTCCTAAGTGTGGGAGAGCCATGCTTCGGCACGAATGGGCCGGTTCGACCGGAGTGATACCACAGCCTCATAGAAAACCGACGTGAAGCAACGCTTGCGTTGTTTCGTCCTGTGAGTGAGGTTACCGGTGGCCCCCCTTCCCCAATCTCCCCAATTCCCGAATTCCTCTCAATCCTCAAACTCCTGATCCCCAAAAGGCTCGTAACGCACTTGTAATGTTTCTGCTGTTCCAGGTGTCCCTGAGCGACGCCGATTGCTTACCACCAGGTGATCCGTCTGCTCGGTTACAGGTTTATGCCATAAAAAAAATATTACGTGAGCCAGGGCTCATAAACACACACCAGGGTGTGTCTTGAAACGAGTTAAGCTTCTTTAAAGCTACGTTAATTAATATGTTAATATACTTTTGTTTTCATCTTGGCAAATACCGATAAAGCCCCTTCGCGTTAGTACAAAACTTAACCACCTTTATTCTTCGAAAAAGGGATTAAAATTATTTTGCAATGCACGGAGAAGATTTAAATCATCCTTACCGTATCATCAGGCCTGAGTTCCCCTGTGTCTCGGAGATCTCTCGCCAAGATCACCACCAGAGGGTAGCAGGACCGAGGAGGTGGCCCCAGCTGGAGTGGCTCTTCCGTTGATAGCCTCAATGTCTTCTCATCGTGGGGGCTGTTTCTGTAAAGAGGGAGTTGGACATTTAGAATTGTTGAACAATAATTAAAATTGGCATAGATTGATAAGTAGATGACAATATCAACTGCTGCAATGCTGTTCTGTTAAACTAAAGAATAAAAGATAACCATATACCGGGCATCTTTCATTTAACTTATGTTAATATTTTCAAATGATTCAAATCATTTTCAAAGTAGGTGCCTAGTCCACCCACTTCTGAAATCATCATCACCCCTTTTTGTATTCTGCTATGCTACGCTATTTCTGTATTTCAGAACTTGTGATCGTATTGACTATTTATCATTCGATTAATGAAAATTAACCTTTTGTTTGTTTGATATCAAATTTAAGGAACAGCTTCTAACTATTGTTTTTGTAATCACTATTTGAGTACGGTCCACAATTTATGTGATTTTCCTATAAACGTATGTTAATTTAGTCACCCGCTTTTTTGCTTAAGCCTAGTTCACGGTTAACTCAAATAATTTGTTAAAATGACATTCGGCAACAATAAGGACAATTGTGGAATTATTTTTAAATAAAATTAATGGGTAGACAGTAAGTCATGACTTCAATAAATAAATATAAACGTTACTTAATGTCAAAGGTCATTATTATAATAATAAATATTTCCAAAGACTTTAAGGACATCGGAACGGACACTTTGGGCAAATTGAAGTTTACTAAAGGACCATCCGGCCATTTGACGGACATTCTTTTTGTTGTTATTGTATTCTTATTTTGGCTTCATGACTTTGTGTTAAACATGAAATAAGTGATATTTATTATATTAACATAACATTAAGTTTTTAAAAGTTTGAGGAAGATGGTGACAGGCAGAGGTGAACATACACAATACCAATTTTTATAAGTGATGTCATTATGAGTACCACATGTAGTAGGACGTGAGCCCAAACCACTCCAAACGCCGTGCTATGACTAAGATTTATTTTCGACAAAAAAAAATTAGGAACAAATAAAATTCGAGTTGCCATGACTTCATTTCATCATAACATAATATCACGTCTTTTATCCCCGAAGGTGTAGGCAGAGGTGCACATTATGCCACTGTACTATAGGTATAACACCCACATTTCACTATTTATGGAATGAGTCCCATGTAATAAATAGGGGGTGAGCCTATTGCCATATACCGGGCACAATCAATTCCAGACTCCGCGCTACTAACTGAGATTTTTTTAAAAACCCATGCAGTAATACTTTGCCCGACCCGGGATTCGAACCTGAGACCCCTTGCCCGGCAGTCGCACTTGCGACCATTCTGCCAACGAGGCAGTATTTCATTTCAGCAACCAAATAATCATACCTCTGGACAATCATTGTTTTAATACAAACATAATTTTCAGAGCTTATTCCCGTTAGAAAGAATAGTACTAGTAAAAAAAGCAGTACATCTTCAGTGTAATAGTATATATTCAAGCGATACCAATCTATCTAAGTCGTGGGAACAAACCAGGTGATAGTACTGACCGACTACTTAATTATGAAACTGGTCGTTTCGTTCGTATTGTCCATCGATTGAGGTCACCAACTCACCGAGGAGGTTTCATACAATGGAAACTTCTGGAACATCTGTCTATAATGGCGTCTTTTGGGACAAAAGATCTAATTAGGATCGTTTTTAGAGTAATTAGTTCATAATTCGATGGTAATTTGTGCTATTTCTCTGTCATCTTAATAATTTTCTGTTGTTTAATGCATAATCGCGGATAATTAAGATAATTGTGAAGGTTTATACGGTTTGTTTACTTCATTGTTAATCTTGTAGTGAGGAAATATTTATCTCCGCGGCAGAATTGTAACGTTGCAAGGTCAAAAACTGAATTTGTTAAAATAAGACAGACGACTTAGACTGAATCGAGAGTAATGTTATTAAACTAAGACGTTTAATACCCTAACTTCCTCTTCTTCACCCTTTTCAGTGTAAGCCTACTTCAACTTCTCGTAGAAAAGGATTCTTTGTGTGTGCGTGTGTACCCTATGCATCTAATTCCCAACATATTTGTTCATCCCCTGTGGGCTACATATTCTCCCCACGTCTGTCATTGCCATATAATATAAATCCAGTCTTTCAGAAAAGCTACGTCACTACGTGTCCTTTCATTTTTCCTAATTCTACGTTCAGCATTCACTTATAAGACAACTAGATAATTATATCCACGTCTATTATATACTAATGACATTGGCAAACTAATAACAAAGCCAGACATCTCTACAACTTAACACAGAGGACTCAATGAATGAAGCAGGTACTGCCTTTATCCTCACGCCACGATCATCGATGAACGTGCCAAGTATTTCAATAGCTTTAGAAGCCTTGATACGATCGTGAGTGATTTAGAGAAGGTCCAATGTCGATAACAGGATGTATAGATGACTGTAATATAGACCTGATGGTTGGTGATGATGGATAGCCTTACTTGGTCAAGGTTTATTATAGTTTCGAGTAAAAATTTTAGACAGAAAAGTCTTATATCCAAGAGGAGCTACATTCAGCTAGCAGGAGCTACATTGATGATGAGGATTACGATGATCTTTCTAAAAATAACAACAAAATGTTTCGCAATAGTTTTCTAACAAAACCTTAAGTTCCATAAGCCCATTTCTATGCAAGTTTGTACCACATTTCGACCACCACTCAAAAAGCAAACCCCGAAAGCCAATTAAATCACCGCATACCAAACACAGATCTCGTGATCTCGACTCACTGCGAGATCACAGACCGATGTAATCGCATCAATATATGCAGTGTTGCAACGAGTCACGGTCGCCGGTACAATGACAGCCTGACATTCATTTAAAACGTGACCCGCATGAGATACGTTCAGTTTCAAATGCATTAGCCGACTTAGTGGTACAGAATAACAAACGGAATTTATTTGCAATTATAGGCATAGATATGTTGACAGCAGAGTAGAATATATTAAAAGGAGATAATTTTGGCTCCATACATTTTTTATGGGATAAGCCGGTAAACGTGCAGACGTATCACCTGATGGTAAGCAATCGGCGTCGCCCATGGACACCTGGAACACCAAAGGCGTTACAAGTGCGTTACAGGCCTTTTGGGATTAGGAATTTGAGGATTGATGGGATTCAGGGATTGGGGAAAGTGGGGAGGGGGTAATTGGGCCTCCGGTAACCTGACTCACACGACGAAACACAACACAACGTTGTTTCACGTCGGACTTCTGTGAGGCCGTGGTATCACTCCGGTCGAGCCGGCCCATTTGTGCCGAAGCATGGCTCTCCCACACTTATTTTTGGGCCTTTTCTGAATGTCTGGCTCTCCCTCTCACTTCCCCAGGACGAGGGGAGTCGTTTTAAAAGATATTGCAACAGAAAGAAAATAAATATATACCGGAAACTTTCGCATTACAATGACAATGTCAGCTACTCTATTCTAGCATTATCGACCTTATTTCGCAATTCTTCTTTGGTACAGTAGGATCGCCTACCACAAGCATACTCTTACTTAAAAGGTTTTTTCTTAATATTTTGTTGGTATGTATATAACATAACATAACATCACGCCTTTTTATCCCCGAAGGGGTAGGCAGAGGAGCACATTTCGGCACTTAATGCCACTGTACAATG